GGAGCCGCGGTCGCCCGGGCCGAGATTGGGGGGGCAAGGCGGGCGACAGAAGGCCGATGCCTCCGTCGCCCGGCCCTCTACAGAATCCACCCCCCAAACCTCCAGGTATTTCCCTCCTTAGAGCTGGCAACCCTACATTCCCCTCAGTGCCTGTTGGTAGGCAACTAAGCTTGGTCCTGTCACCTACTTTGGCCTTTGGGAGAAAACACATTGGGGCCAGTCCTGATAGGGTTGCCAACTCCAGATGGGAAATTCCTGGAGACTTGAGGGATGGAGCCTGAAGAGGGTGAGGTTTGAGGAGGGGTGGGACCTCAGACAGGTACACTGCCATAGACTCCACCCTCCAAACCAGTCAGTCCCACATAGGGAACCATTGTTGCCAATCTCCAGGTGAGGGCTGGAGAGCACTCAGTATTACAACTGTTCTGCAGAAGGGAGGGCAGAAGTCAGCTGAAGTCAAAGGGGCAGATAATGGTAGGTTGGTGGCTAGCTGGGAAGGAGATGGGGTTGCCAACTACATGCTGACAAATTCCTGGGGATTTGAGGGGTGGAGCCTGGAGAGGGTGGGGTTTGCAGAGGGGTGGGACCTCAGACAGGTAGAATGCCATAGACTCCACCCTCCAAACCAGCCATTTTGTCCTGGGTAACAATTGTTGCCAATCTCCAGGTGAGGGCTACAGATTACTCACAATTACAACTGCTCTTCAGGTAGCAGAGATCAGTTCCTCTGGAGAAAACAGTGGACTCTGTCATTATACCCTGCTGAGGTCACCACAGCAAATTGACACTGTTTGCTCAAAGCCAGAGCACTGCCCCAGAGCCTCTTTCTAGATCTCGTTGTATTGCTTTCACAACGGGCTTTACTGCTAGTATTTACTATAAAACGTATGAAATTTGGACAAGTGTATTAGGAAGTTGCTCTGATCTGGGTGGCCCAGGCTAGGCTGATCTCATCAGCTCTTGAAAGCTAAGCAGGGTCGGCCTGTGGTTTAGTAGCTGAATAGGAGACCACCAAGGAAATCTAGGGCTGCACCACTCAGGTGGGCAATGGCAAACCACCTCAGTTTGCCTCTTGCCTTGAAAGCCCTATGCAGTCACTAGGAAGTATGGAGGAGGGTGGAAAGCAAAAGACAGTTCAAAATTATGAATTCGAGGCTCAACTAGGTGAGATAAGAGATCCATAAATGGGTTTCTTAAAGACTTCTCAATAATAAAAACCAGGCTGAAATTAGGGCCATGGAATTTAGGAGGGGAGATTAACTATTTCGCCCACCACCACCATTTCCCCAACCTCATTCAGATGCCTTGTTTAACTATTTGTCCTTCAGAGAAAACACACTGGCATGAAATAACAGTGTCAACTGATGTTGTGAAAATAATGTATGGGACCGTCACCCAGTCCAAATCACAGCACCGGTGACTGCTATTTTTTAAAAAACTAACTTCAGGAGAATCTATTACAGATTTTCCATTGTCTTGTGTAGCTTCATTCTCATAGAATAAAAAATGTATATGCTTCAGTATTGGTATCAGGATATTTTATATTCTAATAGTTTATTGATTGTTTCAAAATATTGAGGAATAGTGCCAGCTCCTGCTTTCTTTATATAAGACATGTTTTTCATCTCAGCCAAGAGCTACATTTTATTCAACTGGGGATCAACTAGAAGGTATGTCCCAGTTTCTAGTTGTGTTGTTTGTGGACTGTTCAATATCTGAGGCACAACTTAGCAAGTCATAATGGGAGTAAATTTTGCTCCCATAAAACAAGTCACATAATATAGCCAAGTCTTATCTACAAAACGACATTTCACAATATATTTGTTAATCACTAGGGTGTTTTATATCACTCCAGTTCTGTTTATCGAATACGTTCTTTTCCCCTTAGGTAATGAAACAGCTGAAGCAAAAATATGCAGATTTGTATAGACATGACAACGTTATATTGAGTGCAACTCATACTCACTCAGGACCTGGAGGATATTTTCAAAACACGATGTTTATTATAGCTAGTAGGGGGCTTATCAAGCCCACCCTTAATGCCCTTGTCAAGGGGATTATAGAGGTAAGAACCAGCCCAGTATATCCCTTTAACTGCCTTACTTAAATTTCCTGCAGCATGCAAGTAGTGGAATACCGGTTGGTGATGTCCTGGAAAGAGATTGGTATGCACTGGTACCCTTGTTAAGGCCTCCTTTGAGTGCTTAAATGGATGCAAATCTCATTGAACTCAGGGGATATCACTGACCTGTATTGAGATGAAGGAGGAGTTTACATTTTATCTTTTTATCTCATTTGTGTCAGTTAATAACTGTAAGCATCAATGGGACTGGCATGCGTATTTGCACCTGAGATGGGATGAAACTCAGCACTGTATGTTGAATAGGAGGCATATTCTAATGTGCAGTCAAATTAGTAATGCTTTCAAAGTCTTCCACTTTGAATTTCGTCCCAGATTTTGGACTTCCAAATGATGTGATGTTGTTTTCAAACCAATTCATTACAAATTCTCTATTGTTCTGCATTTCATTTCCTAATTTCATCAGAATGCCGTGCAAAATTCAGTGGCTTCTATTAAACGGAATATTTCTCCCCCTGCCTTCAGTACTGGGGCAGATGAAATTAACATACCACCAAAAAAGCAGCTTACGTTAGTTTAGCTGTATCAAACTTTTTTTATTTATTTTCTTTTGTATTTTATTTGTTCATTTTATATCCCGCCCTTCTCACAAGCGGGCTCAGGGTGGGTAACAACAAATAGTTTACAAATCATTAAAACCATGATAACAGTAATTCACTTAAATCCATTGTTAAAAGATGGCAGGTTATATCTTAATCTATAAGGTTCCAGCCAGGGGTCATTTCATAGAAAAAGAGGTGCAGGAGCTCATTAGCATAACTTATTAGCGTAACTTATTTGCATATGCCACACACCCTGACATCACCAGAAGTGTGTCAGAAGGCAACACCCACTGCTCAGGCTTCACTGGACTGTTTTGGATTGCTAGCTATTGGGGGGGGGGGACACACGCAGATCTGTCCTCGCAGAGGAGGGAGAGCTTGTACCTGAATAAAACTTGGTCTTAAAGGTGCCACTGGGCTGTTTTGGACCGGGGAGGGGGGGAAGCTCTGCAACTTACCTGGCTGCTTCTTGCTCTGACTGAGGGCTGCTGGGAGCAGGGGGTGGGGCTTGTTGCATGTGCCTGCCCCCTGGGCTCTTTACTGCTCCTGTGCACTCCTGCAGGAAATGACCCCTGGTTCCAGCAATGCTGAACAGATGACAGCAACAGTACCAGCAGAAGCAACAATACCATCTCACTTATGTGGGCAGATGTAATAGGGCAGTTTCAGCAAGGGAGGTCAGATGACTGGGTGTCCACCACCTCAACCAAAGGCTTGGCTAAACGGGCCCTGCAGAACTGTAATAGGTCCTGCAGGGTCCTGATCTCAAGCAGGAGCATGTTCTACTGGGGGGGGGGGAAGGGGGGAAAAGGCCCTGGCCCTGGTCAAGGCTAAGCAGACATCCTTTGGGCTGGGGATGTTGATCAGCTGAGCACAGGATTCTCCAGGGGACACATGGGGAGAGATGGTCCCTTAAACACCCTTTGTGTGATGTTTTTCCTCAGTGTACATGACTGGATGTACATAAAAGAAGAATCTTGATACAGTCAAAGGTATAATCACACCAAATGCTTCCTGCAGTGTTTTCCCACTGTATGTGTGCACATTAGTGACATGAAGAGAAAGATGCCATTATCTCTGTTTCACTGATTTGTTTATATTTCTGATTTTCAGAGTATTGACATGGCTCATCAAAATATGAAGGAAGGACACATTTTTATCAATAAAGGTGTGCTACAGAATAACCAAATCAACAGAAGTCCCTTTTCTTATCTTAAAAATCCAAAACGTGAAAGAGACAGGTAAAGATGGGGAAGGGGAAAGTCACAATTCAACTAAAATAGTGAGTAGAGATATGTGCCAATAAAAAGTTTGAAGAACAGGTGAGCAAAAAAATAAATAATCAGAGTGTGGTTGTATGTCATTTTGAAAACTTGAGTCAAAGTCTTTAATATTGGGTTACTTACATAAGGAAACGGATCTGATGTTTATTAAGGATCCCCCTGAATTTTGCAACCCCATAAGTTTGATTCTAAAATCTTTAGTTTGATTCCATTTCTTCCTCCACAAATCAAGCCCACAAGCCTTCATTTTTATTTCTTTTTCCCTTTAGCTGTGCCTAATCATTTTGGGCCAGCTGCATATAAGTGGCATATAAATAGTGTCTGATGTTAAAATGGCATAAAAGGAACACATTAATTGGGAACTTCTGCAATAAAGTGAAATGCCCACTCTTGTACATTCACAAATAAAAGAAATACGAGCATTTTTGTACATCCATGGTTGCCCCTGGGTTCAGTGGGAAACATATTTTCTAAGTGTTTACTTCCTCCTCGTAGCACCGCACAGTGAGATAGACTGCATCCAAGGGATTCGCCCCCACATCCCGGATTTCAAGCAACTATGAAAAAGCATCCATATTTAATCAGCAATTAAAATACTCACTTTTAGAGGATGCACAGGCAGACATGAACTGACATGTGGGTGAGCTTTTCCTATCCCAAAAGTCTCAAGTGATGGGGATGATCTTGTTTTCCCCTGTGCAGTGTCTGCAGTGCCGCTTTGGTGCTTGAAAAGGTCTGTAGGGGAAAATAAGGGAACCTCATCCTGCCGTGCTGTGAGCCCAATCAAGGTCAGGCCCTTGTCAGACTCCTGCAACAATCAGAATCAACAACTTGCCTCTTTAGAAGGAAAGTTTATTGATACAGGATTGGCAGGGATACTTGTTCTGGGGAAATGATTGCACTGCTTAGTGCTTTTATATGCAAATATAGATTCTGAGAGATCCTGAATCAGCAATGAGATCCTTCTTCGTTACTCCTCTTTCATGTCTTATCTATCCATGTGAAACCCCAGCCCCTCCGTCCTAAGCTGTGTGCTACATAAGTATTTTCAATCAATCAGTTGATAAACTATATCTGTGTGTAGGGCAGGTGGGCTTCCTGTGGCCAGAAGAATAGAGCTTGGGAGTCTGAGTCTCAAAACACCCTGGTTTTGTTCCTCTGGCCATAGGTCTCCTGCCATCTTTACAGCCCTACTGTCCTTTAGTTTGTACTAGAAACAGGCCTTTTTTGTAGAAAAAGCCCAGCAGGAACTCATTAGCATATTAAACCACACCCTGACAGCACAACTCATTACCATATTTGGCCACACCCCATGCCTTCCCTTGGATTGCCCCGGCGCCCCACAGCTGTGGGGAGCCCAGGCAAGCCCCCCCTTGAAGGGAAAGCAGTTTAAACTGCCTTCCCTTGGCTTGCCCAGGCACCCCCTGGCTGCGGGGAGCCCAGGCAAGTCGGCCCTTGGAGGGGAGGGGAGGCAGTTTAAACGACCTTCCCTTGGCTTGGCCGGCCCTTGGACAGGCCAGGGAAGGCACGGAGAGGCATTTAAATGCCTTCCCAATCCTTCCAGGGCCCCCCCTGGCCCGCCCGCCTCGGAGTCACTGGGGGGGGGGGGTCGCTCTCCAAGCCTCCCCTCTGTAGCCATGTACGCAGAGGTTTTGGGTGTAGTGGCCGTGGCCAACTCTGAAGCCAGCCGGAACTCCGTTCCTGTGTGTTCCTGCCCCAAAATAGCCCTGACTAGCAAACAGGATATTACAGAGGGCTGTCTGGTGCTACCAGTGGCACATGACTTGCAGCAGAGAAAAGTAAAGTGCCATCCTAGCCTAACATGCAGGGCTTTTTTGTAGAAAAAGCCCAGCAGGAACTCATTAACATAATAGGCCACACCCAACAGCAGAAACCCATTAGCATATTAGGCCACACCCCTGACCGCACAGCCCATTTGGCATATTAGGCCACACCCCCATGTTACCAGAAGTGTACTCATCCAGCCACACCCACCTTTTGCTTCTTATTCTGTTTACCTTGTTTGTTGTCCAAACCCAGGGCTTTTTGTAGCAGGAACTCCTTTGCATGTTAGGCCACAAACCCCTAATGTAGCCAATCCTAATGAGTTTCTGCTGTTGGCTATGGCCCATTATGCTAATGCGTTCCTGCTGGGTTTGGCCAACTTGGAAGCCAGCCGGAACTCCGTTCCTGTGCGTTCCTGCCCAAAAATAGCCCTGCTAACATGCATGCAGCCCTTGATACCAGAACAGTTGGGCACCCAGCACCCATGACTGAATAACAAACAGATCTTGGCCTCCTGGATAGAAAACCTGCTGGGAAACTTTTGTAAGCCTGTTTGGGTATCTTGAAGGAAGGAAAGGGGGATGTGCATGTGATCTAATCAACAAGTAGAATCAAGAAAACTCTCTCCAAGTCCATGAGACAATGGAATGATAGGTGGAAATTATGAGCACAACACCAAACGTGAAACAATCCCAATTGGTGGAAACCCTTCCAGTTGGATGAAGTCATTGTCATGCCTTAGCTGATGTTAAGCCACTCTCTTCCCTGAAAGTCTTTGCCCCTCTCCTTCCTGAGTAATCAAAGGAAGGTCCCAGAATAACTATCAGATTGGAATACTTCCACCCTCTCCCAAACGTCAGGGAAAAATTGTGTTCAGATTAGGAATCTTTCTGATTTTTCCAAACAGGATGTTGTTTCGTTTGGGTCTCCAATAGTCAATTTGTAGCTGCACACAATATAGAATCATAAAATCAAAGAGTTGGAAGGGCCATCTAGTCCAACCCCCTGCACAATGCAGGAAATTCATAATTACCCCTAACACCCCCAGTGATCCCCTGCTCCATGTCCAGAAGATGACAAAAAAGCCCCAACAACTTCCAGGATCCCTGGCCAAACTGGCCTGCAGAAAAATTGCTTCCTGGCCCCAAAGTGGCAATCGGCATTTCCCCGAGCATGTAAGAAAGGGCCATGAGAACTAAGCACTGATGCAACCCTTCCTGCCCTCCCTTCTCGTGATCTGCCTAAGTTCACAGAATCAGCATTGCTGTCAGATGGCCATCTGGCCTCTGTTTGAAAACCTACAAAGAAGGAGAGCCCACCACCTCCCGAGGAAGCCTGTTCCACTGAGGAACTGTCAGGAAGTTCACTTTTCTGATTTAATTGCAACTTGTTGGTTCTGGTCTGACTTTCTGAGGCAACAGAAAACAACTCCGCACCATCCCCTATAAAACAGCCCTTCAAGTACTTGAAGATGGTTATCGTATCATCTCTGAGTTGTCTCCTCATGTTAATTCATCCAGAGCAATTCATTCATTTGTCATGTGTAAGGAATTGAATTTTCTTAATAAGGATCCTCCCAGTCAATCACCATGGGCAGAATGTTCATCTTATCTCACCTCACTTATAATACACTGCATGAGTTTTGAATGTGCACTGACCTGTTCAGCCTGTAAATAACACTTCAGGGGATTTTTCTACTTGCAGTCTGGGCACTTTGCTGTTCACCTTGTCATTTAATTTTGTACTCCTAGACCTATTGCATTGCTTGTTGTATATCTTAAGCAGTATTTTCACACCATTCCTCACATTGTTATTCAATTTTGTACTCTTAGTCCCCTCTTGCTGAGGGGAGCCTCTTGCTGAGGGTGAAAGAGGAGAGCACAAAAGTTGGCTTGAAACTCAACATCAAAAAAACTAAGATCATGGCATCCGGCCCCATCACTCCTTGGCAAATAGAAGGGGAAGTAATGGAAGCAGTGACAGAATTCATATTCCTGGGATCCAAGATCACTGCAGACGGTGACTGCAGCCATGAAATTAAAAGACGACTGATCATTGGGAGGAAAGCTATGGAAAACCTAGACAGCATGATAAAAAGTAGAGACATCACCCTGCCAACAAAAGTCTGTATGGTCAAAGCAATGGTATTCCCAGTAGTAATGTATGGTTGAAAGAGTTGAGCCATAAGGAAGGCCGAGTGCCAAAGAATAGATTATTTTGAATTATGGTGCTGGAGAAGACTGTTGAGAGTCCCCTGGACTGCAAGGAGATCAAATCAGTCAATCCTAAAATAAATCAACCCTGACTGTTCCCTGGAAGGCCAGATAATGAAACTGAAGCTCAAATACTATGGCCACCAAATGAGAAGGGAGCACTCACTGGAGAAAACCCTGATGCTGGGAAAGATTGAAGGTAACAGAAGAAGGGGATGGCAAAGGATGAGATGGTTAGACAGCGTTATCGATGCAATGAACATGAAATTAAGTAAACTCCAGAAGATGACGGAAGACAGGGGGTCCTGGCGTGATGCGGTCCATGGGGTTGTGAAGAGTCGGACCCATTATACTTCAGTGTTGCTTTAAAAAACAAAGAAATAAGAATGATTTATCTAGTGACCTTGTAGGTATATACCAAGCCTTCCATCTTTAACATAAACATATGTGTTCATATAAAATCACAATCATGCACAATCATACTGAATGTCCTAACATGACATTAAATGGTGCAAAAATTACATAATAGGATCTAGTTTCAGTAAGCTAAACTCAGTAGTATAGACGACAATTCCTAATAATTTATCTAAGTAATGTTGTGAATCATTTAGTGCAGGGCTCCAATTCATTTGAAGAGGCTGTGGTCTGGAGAACTTAGCATTGGATTGTGCTGCTCTGTTTGTCTCCATGTATGTACCTCATGGCTCTAAATGTAGAGTATATTTTTATTCTCTCTATCAACCAGATATTCATCAAACACAGACCAAGAAATGACGGTACTGAAGATGACCAGTGTTGAAGGTCAAGACATAGGGCTGTTTAGGTGAGACCTTTCAAAGTTACAACCTGGGCAAGATAAACATATACCAAAAACTGATGGGGTTCAGAATAATCTTTGGGTAGGGGGAGTAACTGAGACCTGTACAGAGAGGAATTAATAGAGTGAGGGGTTCAAAGAGATCTGAAAGACAAGGGAGAGCCCATTGAGTCCAAAGAGACAAAGGGGTGAGTGGAAAATGGGTTAAAACGAACACATGGAATCTGAATTGTAACAAAACGCTTTTCCACAGTGAAACTAGCACTGTAAAAGAGGTTAGTCCTCCTAGTGATTTTGAGCACCCCATGCTAGAGTGTTTGACCATGAAAATCCACGTCTTTGACATAACCGCAAACTGAGGCTAGCTGACTCCGCAAAGATACCAGTGAATCCTTTCAAGATTATGGCTTGATTCAGACCATTATTAAATCACAAAAATTCTGTTTTGCCTTTACAAATGGAGGTTTCAGCTTCTTTGTTTGGGCCAGGCATCTTCATAGCTGCAGGGACAGCACTGTGGAACAAGCCAGGATCGTGCAAAACTATAGTTGTTACTAAGGCTTCAGCCACACTGGGGCAGTTTCCTGTTTGGCTCTCATTGCTGCTTTGAATCCCTGTGTTTTCTCTTTGTACAAGGAGCCAAGGCTGTGGCTCAGCGGTAGAGCATCTGCTTCCTCCTCCCTGATCCCCCTTTCAAGTCAATACCAGCAGGGCCCAAACATTGCATAGATCTTTTTAAACTTTCCCCTTGTCATTTTAATTTTTTTTTATTCAGCGATCTGAGACTAGCAATAGTCTCATATTGCTAGCCTCATGCTGCTTGTAAAAATAAATAAATAAAATGAGTGAGAAATGGAGCTTGCACACTGATGAAGTAGGGAGGATGGTGGAAGATGCACAGTGGGCGGAATGGCCTTGGTGTGGGCAAAGATTGACCTTTAAGGGGTGGCAAAAGGGCAGGGGGAAATCCAAGGGAATTGGTACGCTTTTGAATTACTTTTGGCTTGGAAGCGAAGCAAGGGGAAAATCGGCACAAAAACACTCTCAGAAAACCTTGGGAAATGGCGACAAGAAAGTGAACTGAGCGCTGAAGGGAGGCAAATCAGTGCTGAATGACAAAGAAAACCCAATGGACATGCCTGGTGAAAGCGAGGGAAAACATCCGTGCATAATAGGCCAGTGTTGTTGAAAATCTCAATGTAAGACTGCTGCAGTATGAAGGGAACACAGACCAAGAGTTTCCATGTGGAAGCACACCAACTGGTTAATAAACCAGTTTCAAACCATGGTTCATAACCTGGTTTTTTGGACCCTAGTTACTGGCCGTCTATCCTTATACTAATAGCCAAGTTGCCCCTGTGAGTGCGGATATCTAAATCCGTGCTCCGGGGGCAGCTGGAGGGCAGGGAGAGGTTTGTGCACACGTGGGCCGGTCCCCACGTGTGCACAAAAATCTAAAAACTTTGAAAAAATATCGGGGGGATGTTTAAATCCCCCCGAAACTCACAGAGTGTGCCCTGCGCATGCGCAGGGGACGCTCTGCGAACGCCGCTGCCGCCACTCGGGAGTCGAGCGGGAAGCCGGGAACGGGGGTCTAAGACAAGTCGAGGTAGTTTTCTTGCCCAGTGTCACGAAAACAGCATCGGCGGCGGCCGCTACTTCCTGGGCTTGGTATTCCCCACAAAAGCGCCTCCTGCACGCCGGGACCATTTTGCAGAAGCGCTTCTTCCGCTCCACAAAATAAGCGCATAGCCCAGGCTGAGAGGAAACCGACGCTGCCGGTTTCTCCGCCATCTTGCCTCTCTGTCGCTAGGCGCTCCTCCTGCCTCCACCGCTGGCTCAGCCCTTTCCTCAACTTCCCCTCTGCGGGAATCCGGCGCCAAACTCAAAGCGTAAGATGGCGTCGGAGAGTGTTTTCAGCCGGTTGGTGCCGGTGCAGGTGAAGGGCCAGGGCTGCGAAGAGAGGTAAGGGGTTCGGGTGGCAGCGGCAGCAGCGGCAGCAGCGGCAGCAGCGTTGGGCGTCCGCGCTGCTCCTCCCCTACTGTCCCCGCTCGGCCCGGGACTGGCTCGGGCTGCTGCCGCGGCGCGCTGGGATCGCGGCGCCATGGTGGTGAGTTCAAAGAGGACAGGGTTTTTTGGGGGGAGGCGCTCTGGTTCCCCCCCTCGCTCTGGAAAAGGGGAAGGGGATCGAGCGGGGTGGCTCCGGCCCGGCTGCGCGCTTCTCCCCAGACATGCACCTGTTACCATCGAAACCCTGGATCGGGCGCCCCATCAACAAAGCCCTGCCCCTGCTTGCCCCCCCCAACACGGTGGGTAGGTAGGAAGAGGGCATGGCCCCACACTGTTCCCCCCCGAATTTCCTCCCTGTCCTACCAGACGTAAAAGACGACTCAGAATCTTGGACGGGGGTTAAAAAAACCCCAAAACCAACCAGATGGGGGTCAGGTCTCTTAAGTTCCTGTTCCTCTTTCCGTTCCCAGTTTCTCCTTTTGGAAACCCCCCACCCCCGGTTTGGATTTTGTAAGGAGGGGGAGAAAAACCATGCGTGGAGGGGTCAGGTCCTTTGAGTTCCTGTTTCTCCTTTATGCGTTTTCTTTTTCCTGGTTTGGGATTAGCGCTTACTAAATCCCCCCAAACTCCAGAGATCTAGAGATCCAAAACGCCTTGCTGTCCCAGAAACTCAACCGGCACCTTGACTCCAGACTCGAATTCCTCTACACTAAAGAGCTATGGAAAAACAGGAATGCTATCCCCCCCCCTTTTCTGGAATCATTGTGTGTTTGGGGGGGGGCAGGCCTCCTCCATTGCCAAAGGAAAGGCCTGGCCTGGAGGGCTGGATAACCAGCAGAGAGGTCAAAAGCCACGTCAGGAAGCAGGCAGTGAAGAGTCTGGTGGGAGAGGTCCGGTGGGATCAGGACCAGAAACACCCCCCCTCCCTGGTAGCCAGGAGTATAGCTCTAGGGTGATATTCACAAGTTACCTGGATTTA